TGATGTACTTTAAAAGACTCATAGTCACAACAATTAAGTGTGGACAATATCTAGTAGGTACCAGTAGTAGTAGGTAATACTGGTGGTTTGCCATGATTAATTTGAATTGTAATAGTCAAAGACAGCTCTAAAATTTCCATTTGGGAAACTATTCTACACCCCCATATCCTCAGCTTTCAGAGAGATCATCCCCGTAATCAACCAATATGTTGCCTTTCATAAATATCTTCTATTACTCCCACATACATTTTCAAAATTACATTTACAACTATACATTTTTTGTTTGTTTGTTTGTTGGGGTTTTTTTGGCTTTGGTATTTCTGGCAAAGCTCATCCTTTTGATGCAAATGAAAGCTAGTAAAAAATTGAAACTCTGTATTCCCTATATTGCTTGCAAAACATACTGTGAATTTTAACCTGACTTGACTTCTTGTCTGGGGCTCAAATACAGCATAGAATATTATTCTGGTTTACTCTTCCTTTTCTATAGAAACAACGATAGCAAGTCTGCTTAAATAAATATGCTTTGTGACAGGTAGGATTATTACCAGCCTAATTAATGACATAATACATTTCTTCTCTTTCAATCAAGGCTCCTCTTCTCTTACTTTGTGGACTTTTGCTCTGTCCTGCCAGAAGCAATTTTACATCCTAAATCTCTCCTAAAGGTTTATGCTCATCTGTGCTTGCTCAAACTATCTTTTAGACCAAACAACTACCTGATAAGAATGTGCATGTACAGCTATTGATAAAAAAGCTCCTGTATTCAAAAAGGAACGTGTGACATCCCAAAAATCACTGGGCAGGAGAAAATGTAGTTCATTATTCCATTTGTCTGTAGAGACTTTTTATCTCATATTGATAATTTTTAACGTGATAGAGCAGATGTCCATGCAATTTGTTAATTATTTTAAGAATAAAAATGTGGTTTTCCTGTGTAATTGACATAAGATCTTAATGGTTTATGGTTAGGTAGTTTAATTGGCTCAATTGCTGGGCAGGAGGAGCAGCAAGAGCAGCCTGCAGTTTGCCTGACCCTTTTCTATTAGATTGAAGTATTATTATGTGCTGTACTATATTAAGCTTCATCTGGAAAAAAGCACAATCTGTTCTTTTTAAGCTTCTTAATAGTTTCTAGTACTGATTCATGGGAAGTGGAGCTAACAGATTGTTATAGTTAGGCTGTAGGTGGGGACACATATGCTTGAGTTTTGAACAAAATTCCAGCTCTGAAGCAGGGATAAGTTTTTTGCGTGATGATGTAATTGATTTTTCTTTTTTTTTTTTTAAACATGCTGAGACATATGGAAGTAGCTTTTGAACAGAGTTTAGGGCCAGACATTCAGGTGGATAACACGCAGGATTTAGGCTGGCGTTTTAAAAGAACCCAGCTGCCAGTTGTTGCCATGAGGATATTTACAAAAGCCATCAACTGCTAACAGCTCTGATTACACCACCAAAAGACAAACTTTCAAGGGAACAGGAACATCCACTAAAAAGTTGTGATACCTCCTCCAGCAGAACCAGTTACAGTATAGAGATGTCAATTTCCAAATGCTGAAAAGGAGATGGAGTTTAGTGGGGGAAGAGGAGCTGAATATAAATTGGCCATACATGAGCTTCAGCTCGTGTTGTAAGCCAAGTCTTTTCTACTGAACTGGAACTAGGCAAGAAAAAGTAAACCTTCTGTTTAATGTTTCTTTAGGATCTTTAAATTTAGAAGTGGGAACCAAAAACCTGAATGGATAAATTCCCAGTATGTAGGCAATTTTCATTACAGGGGACTTATTGAAGACATTGCTTTGTTTCCAGCTTAGGAGTCCTGAATTAATTTTCACTTGGAAGTGAAACTAAAAAACTGTCAGAGTAGGGATGCATAAGACATCACCATGGTCTTTCCACGTGTGCAAATCCTGAAGTCTCTTTATCCTTCTAATGTCATAGATGTGGTTGAACAGTGGGAACAGCCCCATCAGTGACAACTTGCTCTTGCTGTGGCAGTTTTGGTAGTACTTCTATGGGTATACCACAGTACAAAAAATGTCCATGAGGAGGTCAGCTCCATACAGAAAGCATGGATATCCTCTTCCACTGTGAACCTCACATCTCATCCTCAGGGAAATCATGTAATGTAACCTGCCAGTTTCCCACCCTCATTCCCTCAGTGCTACATGTATATGTTCATGCATATACAGGTTTTATTCAGGAAGAAAGATAGCCCACAGAAAATTTATCCTAATATGTGGTGCCAAGGAGTTTAACAGAAAATATTTTCTTTTTCCATCAAGGAGCGTTCATTATCCCCACAGTATAGCTCAAACTAAATATATGTACCTCATCAAGCCTCTTGCACAACAGGAGAATTCACCATGAATAATTTATTAAGTAGAGTTTAATCAGCAAGACAAGAGCACCACTGGTATATTCATATGAGTGTCTTGAAGCAAAACTGCTTTGTGTTTTCATCCAATCTCCCTTGAGGTCATGTCATAAAGCTGTAGTGTTCTCAGTTTGAGAGCTCAGTCACTCTCACATTTGGACTACCGGGATGTTTCTTTTCCAAATGTTGAGAACCTAACACTTTGCTAAGTACCCTTGGTAGTTTAACATGTTTCCTATGATTTTGGATGGATAACTTTCTGTACAGTTTCACAAAATTTCCCTGTTTTCATACTTGATGAAATCATGATGTTTGTGCCAGAGCAGACTTTATTTGTATGGAAAAGAATTAATGTGCTTCATGCTCATTAGAAGACCTACAGTTTTTCAGTACTGTGATTATACCTATTCTCAGCTTTATAGCAAGACTCAGGATAAGAATTTATATGCTTATAACACTTTCAAACCAAGACTGTAGTATACGGAACATTGAAATTATACAGTTCTATAATTCAATTAGATCTAGCCAGGAATTTTCTATTGAGAGTTTTTTGACAGAAGATGAGGCCTTCAGAATTTCAATCTCTTGGAGATACTCTATGGAACAGTTTTTCCTCAAACTTTCACATTCTATGGCAAAGATTGATAGGGTCTCTTTATCCTTTTTATTCTATGTTAGGAAAAGTGAAACAGAACATTTAGTGTTGATCCAGATTGACCTAAATATGAATAATTTTTAACAAAGTAGTGCATTGCCTGTCAGCTTAATTTAATTTTATAAGGCCTCAGTGCCTGTTGGGAGTTAAATATGACTGACCCCCATTTTTCCTTCAGACTAACTTTGGAGGCTATAATACATATTTCATGAGACACTATGTTTATGACCTCTAGTTGAACTGCTTCAGCATCTCATGAGAATCACTTGATGCTCATGTATCACAGGAAACAGTTTGCCCTAAGGGCATGACACATGGGAAAGCACAGTGCACCTGATATACAACTCCCAGGAAGCACTGCAAAAACTGAGTTTAAAATCCAATGGCATTTTGTGCAGGCACAATTTACATAGTAATGTGTTTTCTATTAGGCCTAATCACAGCAGGGAGAAAAATGAAAGTCCTAATAGCTAAGGAGATCTGCATTCAGGTTGCCATTCTGGTTGGATGCAATTTAGAAATTTAATGGTCTCAGAGTCTAGGTGATTCATTCCTGATGTGAAAGGAAGATAATGGTATTTCCTGTCTCCCATTCTTTGTCTCTTGGCTACTGGGATGGTAAGATCCTCAAACTGAAGACTGTATTTACATTCATGTTCAGCACTGAGCGTAGCAAAGTCTCTGAGCTCTAGCACCAGTTATAGGGAGGGATCCCCAGATGGGCAAGCTGAATGCTTGATGGTTCCAATGTCCAAAGTCAAAAAATCAGATGGCAGTGCAAATCTATGTGCCTGATTCTCAGTGCTCTACATTCATTTTCATTGTCAGTGTTCCTATGTACTTGCAACTGCGCTGGTAAGAGAGAGCATTTTTCTTATAGATTCTTCCATTTGTGGGCTAGCAAACAAGTGAAGGATCAGAAGTTCCTTTCAACAGCATCACTACACTCACAGTTTTATTAATTAATTTACTGATTGTGTTTCTGTGGACAATTACTGAGGGGTTAAGACAATATTTTTGAGAAAGACTTCCTGACTCAAAGGCCTTCTTATTTAAATGAGACATGAGACAGATTTCAACAGCCAGATGGAGAAGCACAGGGAACCAGAAACACAGTCCTGGTCATGAGGACTGTCAATGGTATCAGTATACCCACTGTTAAAGCACTGTGACTTTGTTGTAGGCCTGGTAGTAAAGAAAGTTTCTGTGGTGATACAGAATAAAGAAAATAAATGTATCTGTCTGTTAACGTCTGTTACCAATTTATCCCAGTAGAGGAAGAATAGATAAAAAAAAAATATTGTTTCCCACTGATAGACATTTAACTCAAAACAAACAAACAAAAAATATCCCCAGAAAAACCACCAAAATCACATTTAGCTCATCTGTGGTCTTGTGAACTCTGTAATGTTAATCTTCAGTTTTGTCACTTGTTCTCTGCAGAAGTTCTTCCACAAAATAAGTTGAAGGAATATAACAAACTATATTTAAAGAAAAGTTCTGTTTCAGATTGAATTATGAACAAGCTGATGTTATTATCCTTTTATTTTTTGCTTATATTTAAAACATTACCCCTAAAAATTTATTCTCAACATATTTTTTTAATTTCCTGAAGTAAACTCCAGAGCACTTGACCACGTTTAGTCAGCTTGAGACAATCAGAAGAGATTGTAATTTATGCATACATTGTTTTACATATGTAGACCAGATCCTCACAGGTAGAGAGGCACTAAGAGCCTTTGGTTTCAGCAGAGATGCAGGCTCTTAAAGAGAAGTGAGTTTTCTAGGAAAATTAGTTGATCTTGTCTTGAAAAATTGAGTAATTAAAATGTTAATGTGATTTTGTTAAGATTGGTAATGATCTCTGTGCAGATATGTAACATATTCTTTAAAATATCTGATGTTTCTGAAGGAAAAGCTACTGCAAATTTTAATATACACATTTATGTTTATGCTTGTATTTAGGAAACTATGGTGAAAGTGGAATGGAAGCTTTCAAAGATAATGCAGCCAAGGAAGGGATCTGCATTGCACATTCCTACAAGATCTACAGCAATGCTGGTGAACAGAGCTTTGACAAGCTGTTGCGAAAGCTTCGGAGTCACCTGCCCAAGGCAAGAGTGGTTGCTTGCTTCTGTGAAGGCATGACTGTGAGAGGTCTCTTAATGGCTATGAGGCGCCTGGGACTCGCTGGAGAATTTTTGCTGCTGGGCAGGTGAGTAATACCTGGCAATTACAGCCAGCCTTTTCAGTGAGTAGGGCAAAAAAAAGAACAGTCCAGTCAAGTATGCATAACGTTTGTACTCATGGTCTCGGCTATACCTGTGCATATCTAAACGATAGAAAGAGTGTCAGCTGGGTCATAGTGGTACCTTTTCTATAAAGACATGTATAATTCTCACAACGTGCCAACCAAACACAAGTCTGCTTATCCAGTCTAAACAGCTTTGTGTAAGGGAAGGCTGGCACACAAACCTTTGATTTATATCATCCATTTTGTTCACCTCAGCTTAAAATGCATCATGTGAATATACAACTTGAAACTATGTCTCATTCGAGTAACCCTGTGTCAGGAATTGCTGGTATGGCCTCTGGGTGGACCTGAAATAGGTCTTCTCAAAACAAAAAGGGAAACCTTTCCTTTCTGAGACAATGTGCTGACATGTGCATACTGTCCTGAAGGCAATACGTAAGTAATCCTTTCTCTTAGCTCAGCAATATCAGTGTTTCCTTTCCTAACCACCAAAGGGAAAAGTGTGTTCACCTGGCAGGAAAAGACCTTGAGCAAGTAAGCAGAAAAGTAATGATACTGATGTGAACCTGATGAGATCTTTGCACTCACCCCTTATTCAACAAGTGGATCCTAAATGAGACAGGAAAAATGGTGTATTGAGAACAAAAAGGAGTATACCAGGAATCAAATAATGTAGTGCACTGCTTTTCCAGTCCATTATTAGAAGGATGACCTGATGCTGTCCCAAGCATGAACCCTATAGGAACACATGTAAAATGGTGTCTGTGAAACCAGAAGTTCTAGTGAGAGTTTCAGGGAACTTTCAAGGACTATGTTGGCAGCTGAGACACTGAGTCTCACCAGCTGGTAGGACAGCATCCTCTGTTCCCAATCTGAACTGTTGCATACAGATGTCCTTTCCCCTTGGGCAAAGGGGAAAGCAAACAGACAACAATAGTGTCTTTGGCCTCTGCCCTTCCTCCTTGTCATCAGCCTACATTTTGGCATTTTCAGATGTGAATGTCTTAATTTTTTCCTCTGGTTTATGGCATCTATCTCCTTTCAAATACAGTTTATCTTTAGGCCCTTCCATGGACTATCTTGGTCCTTTTCTGGACTGACACCCAAAGGGAGTACAGTCCTCAAGGTGAGGTTCACTTAAACATTTTTAGAAGTCTACAATTTAGACACTTCATTTTAGCCATCAGGATTATTTTTATAGTTAATAGGAAAAAAAAAAAAAACAACACACACAAACTTGTTAGGTCCCTTTTTTGTAATGTGGATGTTTTCAGTAGAGCAGAGAAATCATGTTATGGAAAAGGGCTTGTACAAAGACTCTCTTGCTGACTAGCTTTGGTGGAAAAGCCTACTTATCACTTTTTTATACCAGTTTGGAGCATATGTCGCCTTTGTTATCTCTAGCTGAATCTGGTACCACAAGACTTTTCCTGTCTCCTTTTGTCCTAAATACAAGTTGCCAACTCTCTGCAGTAGCATTCAAATTTAAAAGCACGTGAGCATCATTTTCAAAAAATATGTTGACCCTGAACTTCTTCAGACTCCAAACCATACTTAATTTTGTATGAAATTTGTTTATGTACAGAAGTGCTAAATTTAGCCTTTGAGATGGTTTTATAAATAAGGACTTCTGGAATTACAGATTGTGAATAAGAATTTTTTATTGTTGTTTGGGGTTTTTTTCATAGCTGCAGTGGAAGTTGTCATGAGTAATTATAAGAAAGTTGTTATTCAGTATACAACTTCCATTCAGTAAATTGAAAGTGATATCCTGTCTTAGAAATCTAAACTGTAATGTCTTCTAAATCAAAACAAAAATCCTTAATTCTACCAAACCATTCTGGGTGTATCCATACCTATGGCAGTGCTATGCAATTTAATTGTGAAAAATGTAGTATAGACTTTCAATAGATTTGGTTCCAAATTTAAAAACAAACAAACAAACAAAAACACAACAAAAAAACCCAAAAAACAACAAACAACAACTCCTGCATTCCCACTAAAAACAACAAACTAACCAGTTTTGCCTCCTGAGGACTTTTGTTTGGTTTTGGGCTATCCTTAGTCAGTAGAGCAGAGTGTTTTATGTATCTGCCGTGCAGCAAGAATCACGTGTAGAGTGTGGGAAGGTGTGGAGTGGCTATGTTCCACAAAAATGTTCATTCTTACAAAAGTGTTTTCCTTCCACTATGGGCTAACCTCTAGGCTTTGCAACAGAGGTAAAAGAAAAAAGCAAAAGCAAAAACAGGGAACTTGCAAGAAGGCTTCTTGACGTAAACGGAAATCAAGACAATAATGTCATTGTCCACTGATGGCCTGTAGGGATTTAAATCTCCATTTTCCAGGACTTTGATGTGCTGTGTGCTCTCTTGGTTTCAGCTGTTTGGCTCTGTTGGCTGTAAATATTTAAGTGTTGTTCCTTATTCAACAGTGTAAGGCACTCACTTGGGATGGATGTGACACCAGTACAAATGCAGATCTAAGTAGATTATGTTGGGGACCTTTTAGTACATCATTTATATAGGGAGGAAAGACATTTAGCAAGATTTTGAAAATGGTTCAGAGAGCTCTAAGGGGTAGGAAATACACCTGAAATTAAAGAAGGCTCATGAAATTAATCTCTCTTATGAAGCTGTGCAGGAAAATGAACTAGGATAAGATTTATACTTTTATTCATTGTCTGATCCTGGAGTTGCTCTGGACTGCCCATTCAACTGAGAGGGAGATAAAAGGACACTCCAAGAGTAGTGAAAGTGCCTGTCACTAGAACGTCATGGGCTCATAAGAAAAACCTCCATCTACTAATGAGTATTTTTTTTACACCACAAATACATTTTGTTCCCCCTTGTTTTGTTAAGTGAAGAATTATTTTTTCATTTCCAAATGCACAGAAAGAACTAAAGTCCCAAAATCATGCAGTAGCTTTATGGTAATCCACAAGAAAGCAACACTTCCTCTTAGCTTTTTTTTTTTTTTTCTAGTTTTGATTTGAATTCACCCCTGATATTTCCAATCTGAAGTCTTTCAAAAAAATTGGGATTTTTGAAAGCTGTGGATTCCTTACAGCACCTGTTTTGTAATGAGATAAACAGAAAATGGAGTGGCCAAAGAGAGTCCACATCAGATAAATTAGGCTATACAGCCCCAAGGGGAGGAAAAAGATACCCTTCAATAAACACTTCACTTATGACGTACTGTGCAGTTTCTGAAATTGCATTGCCTGCCTGTGACAGAGATGAAAGATGGTAAGTCATTAGTGATTGCAGCATTCTAGAGCTTTTTGATTCATGGAAAACATTTTAAATGCTCAGCAGATATTTACCTCATTCACCTTGAGGAATTGGACTTAACCTCAAATAAAAAGGTGAGTGTGCTGACTTTTTAGTGAAAAAAAATGTTATTTTAACTTAACTGTTATTCAGCTTAATTGAGATATGAACACTAGGCTTCACCTGTTTGTCCTTATTACTTCTGTCACCCACAGGTCATATACCAGAAGATACCCTCACAGATAAAATTCATTAGAGAATAAATAGTACATTCATTTACCAGAATAACTTTGGAACAGATTTCAGAAGGAAATAGGAGTATTAATTCTGTAGATATAACCAGTTTGGTTTTATGTGATCTTTGGCTGTTCCTCATTTTATGTAATGTTTAGGCCCAACAGATGACATTTTCTTTCATGTTATACATTCACCTTCACCCTGCTCCTCTTGACTACTAGTTTCTGATATTTGGAAAAACAACTTTTGTGGTAACTCTCTACAGTGATGTATTTTCCTGATACCTTTCATCTGCAATTATTCCAAAACATCTCTCAGAACGACTAAGTATTTTAATGCTTTCACATGATTTTTCATAATAAAGTAGCAACTATTAGCCGCAACTGAAATTATGAGTAATGACTATAACTGTCCTAAATAAAATGGGTTCAGAGAACATTACTTTAGTACTTGATAATTTTATTCTTTCTTTTTGCTTGCTGGCATTATTTTATCTTACATCAACTAACACTTTCGGGATGGGACTAAGGTATGGCATTGGTGACAGCAGTTGGGGACTGTTACTAAGTGGCAGCTGGGACATACATACTCTGGTTTGGGGTAGAAGAATGTTAAGAAAAATGGATATGGGCATTGCATGCCTTTTACCTTTGGACAAGAGAACTTCCCCTGGATTTATTTATTATTATGATATAGCTATTGTACAAAACTTAAGAGCAAAAGACAGAAATTTTGCAAAGAACTTGTGATTCCAAGCACAAGACAATGACACTTTTCCTGCCTAAAAGGAAGAAGAGAAGGGAAAGGATGAGGGCATTGGAATTGTCAGGCATTGGAATAGGCTGCTCAGGGAAGTGTTACCTGGGAGTGTTTCTGTGTTAACAGTTGGACTTAATAATCTTAGAGGTCTTTTTCAACCTCAGCGATTCTATGATTCTAAAGGGAAAATATAGGTTTAAAGAGATAAAAATGACTTGCTCAATGTCTCCAGCTTCCAAATGAAATTCCAATGGCAGTAGTAATCTTCAAGAAATTACTGGGACATTCATCTGCTTCATACATTCATATATGCATATGGTGTGTTGGATTTACTATGATATTAACTGCCACGTGTTATTAAAAAAATGTTAATTAAGATTATCTGGACTTTCTTTTGTATTAAATGACAAAGTTATACACAATGAATAAAAAAAAATCTACGAGGTGTGGAAATGTTTCCTTAGTCATGATTCAGATTTTCAGCTGCCCAGATGAAGAAACATGGTCAAAATGTATCAATCTGATTTAATCTCCACATGGATCTTAGATACTTAGCTCAGTCAAGGATTTACAAAAATAATATTAAATTGGGTCTTGGTTACAATATCTGTAGCAAAGAGATGGGAAATCTAGAGCTACAGGGCATCCCACGGAGTTTCCATCTTCTTTTAAGTATGATCAGGACTTGATAATTAC